CGATGGAAGATTTAGTCTCAATACAATTAGATGTACTTACCTTATACTTGTGCCGTATTGATTCTCTCCGCCGAATTCTGCTATGAAATTCACTTACACTATGTAAGAACGCGTTTTCCTTGTCAATTGTCATGCTACCGGGTAGTAATTGACATTTCGCCGACAAAGATTTTCTCGAGTTTTTAGATGTGGGAGCCATACTGATTTTTACTTAACGTCAGCACACGATTTTTAAATTAACGAGTTTTACGACTTCGGACTTACAGTTATTAGTATAATAAGTACTTATTCTCATCGAACAAAACACCAAGCTAATGAAAATACAAGATGAAAACATATGGACAAATAAAACGCTACAAAATATACTACAGCAAAATTATATGAAAAAACAATCATTTATCCGTTAAAAACATAACTATTAAAAATAACTACCTACTATTTACTAATATATTAATATTAATTATTAATATTTATTTTATTTTGTTATCACATAAGTGATACGTTGCATCCTGCAATAGAATAAAAAACAATGGTACCGGTTAATGTTAACGGTTTTTTTTGAAATTTATAAGCAACCTTGTAAACCCTTGATAACGCCAATCACTTTCAGCATAGAACTTGCATGTTTTGCAGTGTCGCCACAATAGTCTATCTTAAACCATGGCTACCACTTACCTAATATGATAATGCGATAAGAATTGCGGGGGAACGACGACGACGTAGTGCCGTATTTATATTATCATAATTCATAATATTATTATTGCATTTTATGTTTTGCCGGTAGTAAATTAACTATTTAGTATTTACTATTTAATACATAGATTAGAATACCTTATTTAATATTTAATACATCCCAGGATTTCAGATTAAGTAGCGTGTTTTAAACCGTGGTTCATATTGACAATTAGTTTTTTGGTTCGATTTGGCTGTTACTAACGACATTAACTATTGTTATTTGTTGTCTGTTAGTACAAACTTTAGTTTAAAAATATTTGTCATTAATTATTGTGTTTTTTTAATTTCTATCGGCTCGGCAACTCGTCACTCGTATGTCGACATCGTGTTTCGTATTTTCGCCTGTGAATATATAAAATGTAAACACTGAACAGTGAAACTGATTAATGTTTGATTATTTTTCTCYGTTTATTTCGTTTCCACAGCTTAAGTTTGAAGTTACGAACTTTAAAAAGTTTCCTTACCTCATATTCAATCTGTGAATATCTGCTATTAGTTTCAAATTGAATTAAAAAGATTTTTGTAATTGAAATATTTTACTTCAAAATGCGTATTAAACTAAACCTTTTGCAACTAACCCCGGACAGGAATCCTTCAGTTTACTGGCTTCACATAGATAAAACTTGTATTAGATTAATTAAACATTTGAAAGAAAAAGTACGAAAAGTGTTGAGAGAATCTCGTGATATAGAATTATGTTTTGACAATGTACCATTTCTGGATGAAGATGATATCAATGCAATTAATGAAAATGAAGAAATAGGGTTAGTATACTTTTAAAACAATGACCTATACATTCTAAAAACTCTATTTTTTTTTTAGTGTTATTCTGAAAAAAAGAAACATTTATGATGACCCAAAATATATCCAAACTGAATCAAATACTATTGAGCTTGATACGGAGTATGATATGATTCCTGCTAATATCAATGGAGATTTTTCCCCTAGTAAAGTGAATAACCTCAGTAAGAAATTGAATTCAACCAAACAAATAACAAATTCTATTGACATTGAAATGTTATCCAATAATCGTGWAGTRGATGGAGCATCCAATAATGATAATAAAAATACAACTTCATCCGAACTATTAAAAATACCTAAGAAAAGAGTTCGTAAGAGAACACACAAAAAAAGCAAAAAAAATATTGAACATATTGAAAATGTAATTTATTTAATTTTTAATRTTATACCTAACTTATTTTTATAATTTTCTTTTAATAAAACAAATAATTTTTCAGGATTATGTAGGTACTTTATCARAGACTTCTATCACATCCTCAAAGGAAGCTAGTATAATGCACAAACGTTTCAAATTAGATAATRGTGAAAACAATGAACAAGATGTTTGTTCTCCTTCCATGAATTCTGAAGAACCAAATCTTCATGTAACAAGAGAAGTTTTTCACTGTGATTCTTTAGCTTTAAATTCTAAAGAACAAAAAAATACAACCCCACCTAGTATGTTACATTTATTTAAAATTATTTTACTTTAAATTTATTATTACTACATACCATTTAATTTCAGTTTGGAAAAATGAAAAACCATTAAATATTAAATTCAATAAAGTTCCAGTATTTGTACGTGGTCAAACGTGTACACCAAAGACTTCCTCTCAAAATAGTTCTTATATTGAAAATGAAAATAATCAATCTAATGATAGCATTATAAGTGATAATTGTGATATGTTAGTAGTAGATTGGAAGAACATGTCTCAGATTAAAATAA